TGCAACCAAGACTCAGACACAGAATTCAAATGCATTTTTAGTATCTTTTGCATAAGCCATTTCTGAGGAAGAAAAAAAAGCAACTGAAATATGAAATTCATGCTAAAAACAACGAGTACATTGTTGACCGTGTGACTTATTGCAGAATTAGAACATTAACCTGTGTGCTTTCCCACCTCCTTGAGATATACCATGACAAACATGCTGCGTTACTGCTAATGATAGTGATATGTAGTCCATTCACATAAGAAGAAATAAAATCCAGACATGCATTCATCACAGCTTTAGTAAGCCCTGGAAATAAAACAGTATTCTTACCTGTATGTGGTCAGGCTTCTTGATGGAGACAAGAGCAGCATTTTAACTGCCTGCTGAGTCTCTACTTCATTTCACTGTATTGCAACTTTGAAACCTCTTTTTCTACCTCTGACCTAACACGGGTTGCTGGTTTCTGGGGGCTTTTTTTCTTAATTTTAGCCTTATAGTAAACTCAATATGGTCAACAGTTAAACGTGTAAGGTTTATTTATTTATTTAGTACTTTGGCTAAGTCCCAGGTAGCTCTTAAAATGTGAGCTTTACTACCTTATTTATACTCAGAACAACTATTATTATTTACAAGGATTTGGGCTAGAGGTTTTTAACGTGAATGCCTAAAACATCAGGTATAAATCCTTGCTGAGCACCCTCATAAAGAGAGTGACTCAGTGGACGCTAGCTTCCTCGGCAAAGAAAGACAATGATCAAATATTTTCAATAGGAGTTAAGCACATAAACTGCTTTCAACTGCACCAGAGTGACTTACCCAAAGTCACACAATGTCTGCAGCAGAGCATGAAGCAAATGTTTCAAGTCATAGAAATTCTTAATGCCTGCAAAGTCCTTCATAAAGCGTTATATTTTCCTGTCATTATTTTTCATGTGGATTGCAACAGCACTTAAGGACTCCCAGCAGAATACAGGGCCTCAAGGTATTAGGTACATCTGCACAGCGTGAGACAGCTCTGCCCTGTTGAAGAAACCTGTCTCTATATAGTACACAAAGATGGTTGCTCATGAAACACCCTGGGCTCCCTTGCAGTTCAGGGAGCACGGGAAGGCGCTCTCCATTTGAGCCAGAATGACTGGAATTGGTGGTTAAGTAAGGAGCAGAAGCCAGCCTAAAGTCTCAGGGTGCGCCGGGGAAACGGCACGTGCAGCTGAAGCCTCTGCCCTGCTCTGTAAAACCGTAGGACCTCCTTGCTGCGGTCTCCTGGGGTTGCTGGTACTGGTGGAGAGGCCAGGGCCAGTCACACCCAGTCTGCCATGCTGGTTGCAACCCCTGCCCGCTCCAGTTTATACCTGGGACACATCAGCCACTGCATTTTGTCTGCCTCCATCGCAGGAGAATAAGAGATAAAGGGGTCCTTGAAAAAAAGCCTCTGAATAGGACCAGCCGTTACTTTGTGGAAACTTTATACCTCAGAAAAGCAGAAGGATCGAGAAACTGAGACAAGGGAAAAGAAGGCCTGAATCAGGCTATATGGAGGCCTGGTTTATTTTAGCATCGACTTAAACTGGCTTTGCACCAGGCCCAAATTGCACAGGGTTGTTCTATGAATCAGATACGTATGCCACGCCAGCTGAGAGTATCTAAACAGGCTCTGCGAAGGAGACATTGCCAAATTCCACACATACAGCAATGTGTAACGTTAAGAGGCCAACTGTTTCTGCAGCAAAAATGTAGACAGTTTGTAGAAAATATGCAGCTTAAAACTGATTTATGTTACACACTAGGCACGAATATTTTATTCAGCCAACACAGAAGAAAGTTAATGCTATCTCATTGCCGATCTCTGAGCTTATCCACACTGATTAAGAACCAGACAGGGGTAAGGCAGCGGCCAAAGTCTGATCCTTCAGCTAACACATGAAAGGCAGCATGTCTTCTTGTTAGCTTCACGTGATCTACGATAGTGTGATGGAAAGACGCAAGGAGCATCTATCTTCCACTTTAGGCTGCATGTCAAGGCATGCAAATATCAGGAGTATCAAGCCATGAGCACGACGATAAGGAAGGCTGAGTCCAGCTTTTAGTGCCTTGTGAGAGAACGTGATCTTACTTTTTTCAAGGGTTTCACAGCTCCTCAAGTGCATGAGGAGCACGTTGTGCTGTTCTGTCTGAAGGTCTCCAGCAACTGTCACAGAGGAGTTACACTCCTAAACACTCAGGCAAACGTCAGTGTGGGATTGGCTGTAAATGCTAAGGTCCATACACATTTTAGATCACAAATGTATTGAGGCCACAGTCTTGTCTGCTTGTAAGTATACAGCAGTCACTGTAAACCAGGGCATATTATCAACATATTATGCCCCTAGTGTTTATTTTGAACTAATGTCTATGTGGACTTACTGTCACATTCATACTTCAGTAAATAGCAATGTAATTCTAATAAATGCCTGTTTCAGTAAATATCTACAGCAGAATTCTACAGTAAATTCCATTAAGATAGTTGTGTATCAATGAATCAGAGTTTTTACTGCTTTTGCTACAAACCCAGCAAAGAAGCATGTTGTCTTTAGAGATACCAGTACAGCAAGACTGTTGCAGAGATGAAAACAGCCTTTATGTCTTTATTTACCAGTAGAGAAATTATTATTTGATAGGATGGAGAAGGCAATCATTAGCCATTACTTAAAATAAGAAGCTGTACCTTGAAAGGACCTTTTCATACTGTGAGCAGAACTATTTTAGGTCTTAGGCAATGCTATTTAAGAGTTGTGGTTGTCCACCCCACAGACCCCTTTTAATGGGATGGAGAAGGGGAAAAGATTCAAATTATGCAAATGGCTTTAAAAACTTTATAACCTGGGTAAGAACCTCATACTGCCTTAGAGACCTGTCAGAAAAACTCCTTTCTGGGCTTAACCTGAAATTCTTGATGCAAGAAGGGCTGAAAATGACATGCAAACTTTCTAATAGTCCTGAGGCCAAAAGAACAGAGAGACCTCTTCAACATTTTCCTAAGTTACCCATCTGATCTCTGCAGCCCAGCACTGGACCAAGGGTATGATCAAGAAAAATAGATAATTCAGTAAAGAATCTTGCTACTGCATAATGTAGCTGTAGATATAACATGTCTTCTTCACTTTGAAGAACATTATATTTTTTCAAAGTCATTTTTTTATTGTAGACTGAGAAAACCAGCAATCAAAATTAAAGAAAATAGAAACATGGTTTCTAAAGAAAATAGATACCATGGTTCTCCTAAAAGGAAGACCTAAAAACTTGAGCAGTCACAGAGCTGTTGCCTTTACAGACTAATGCATACAGTGAAATATATGAACCTGGAGCAGAGGGAGTTAAAGCTAACATGATTTTAGCTGGTTTGACCTAATCTCAATTTGGACAGTTTCCAGGACAGATATAAAAATTCTGGTTCAGTGCTTTCCATTCTTTGCGTTTTTCTGAAAAAAGATTTCCTCTGGTCTTTCTCTCAACTAAAAACTAAAATCAAGAATGTAAATCAGGCATGTTCAGTAGAGACAGGCAATGCAGGAGAAAATGGATGTCAGCATAAAAAGTGCTAGTGAAATGTCATGTGACAGATTAAATTCAAGTCCATCTTCAAAAAGTTAATCTAAACTGAAATAAGTGCTGGGAAAGGCATTAGGATCAAGGCAAAGGAAGATTAAATTTCCTGGTGTTCCTTTATATGAAGTGAAAAAGATGATACACGCCTAAAGAATAAGAAACTTGGAGGCTTCTAAAGCACCTCTGAGGTACAGATCAAGATCATCAATGAAGACTTTGCATTACTGGAGTTGTAGATCAAGTAGTTAAAATGTGACTCAAAGAACAGAAGAAACTTCCTGCTTGTTGCTCTTTATTATTTGCTCAGTGCATTCTCTACTGCACATAATAAAGAGGCCCCTCTCCTGCAGAGTAGAGGGGGCTTGTAAAATTTACATCTGCAATGTATAATTGATACTCATACACTGTTATTAATTTTGTTCTTATGGGCTTTGCGTACAATGAGGAGTTATAAGGAGGGGTTTGAAAGAAGTCATGGGTAATTTGGCAAACTCTGAATGGGATTTTGGCTTCCTGCATGTTTTCTCTGCATATATTCCATGCTCATGTCTAGCCTTCTCTTCCCGTTAATCTAATTTTTTCCTGTTTGTCCTTTGCCTCAGAATTCTGAAAAAAAAAAAATTAAATTAGTTCCATGTCATCACAAAGAAACTAGAAAAATGTTCCCCAGTACCCATAAAATAACATGTTCAGTTTTAAAAAATAGTCTTTAAAAGCTGCTAAAACTTCCCAGCTTCATTTTTTCATGGAACCACTGTTTAATTTACAGTAAATCGAGAGGCAGGAGGGATGATAAAGTTAAGCTCACGCTGTTGAGAACAATTATCCTGGCCCAGAGACATATGTAGCCCCAGAAGGTTGAACAGACCACCATAGCTTAAAGGCACTAAGATAAAAGAGCACGTGCTGCGTGGGCCCAGTGGGAGCAAGGCCACAGCCTGCAAACAGAACCCACTCTGCTTTCATTTGATTTGTGCATTTGTTTTTTTTTTTGCAATTTTGAGTTATTTAATAAGGGCCTGGTGCATTCAGTGGAAAGAAAAAGAGAATGGTAGCTGGGTCAGTGTGACAATATCTATCTTACATTCACCACAGACAAAAAATATCTGAGTGAAGAAATGATGGCAGCCTCTGTTTCTGAAAGACTGAAGATACTGAAGCAAGACGTAAAGTAAAAAAGAAGAAGTCATGAGATGTTTAAATTCTGCACAAACAATAACAGCACCTTTTCTTTTTCCCCCGTCTCATTAATCATGCTGGTTAATTGTTGGGATAATGACTTCACAAGTTCATGTAGTACAAAAGGATTATCCTCGAACTACACGTAGTACTTGGCATTTACTTCTACATATGCCAGTATCTCTGTATTAAAATGTGAGGTAGTTTTTCTTTTTCATTTTTTCCAATTTTCCTGGAAAGTGAATTGCATGTTGTTCTCAAAGATGGAAACAAATAAGGAGAGAAAACTTCAGGTAGCGATTAATAAAGGAGATTACATTATTTTAAAAGAAAAGCAGTAAAGGAGATAAAGATAGAAAAATAAAGAAAACATTTCAAAATGTCACTGTAGTTTAAGAAGCTAAATTGTATCTCCAACAGGGATTCAATCTTCTGTTGGGATTTTAGGTTACTTAAAACAAAACAAAAAAAAGGGAAAGAAAAATTAATGGAATTTTGAATAGCATTTTGGCAGTTGTGTCCAGATTTCTAAAAATAAGAGGCTATCAAGATCCTATTTAAGTTGAGTGATTTCACTTCTAACTGTCCTGAAAAATGTGGTACCTATCTGTCACTGAAGCTAAAGAGGGATTTGCTTCCAGATGCCTTTAAGAAACAGTGTGCCTATCTGCACTCTTAAGCACTTAAATGTTTTTTACAGGCTGAGTGGTCAATTACATTCTTTCTGATGTCTTTTATTGTTTTTTGGATTTATAACATTTTATTGTTATTTTCCTCTAGTGCTTCTTCGTGTTTGTATATTGAATTTCAAATCTCTCTTGCTGAATAACACTGCTAAAAGCATCCTAAGTGTTATAGGCTCCCATCTCTGACCCGGAAGGAGGATAGATCAGGGCACTCCAGCTTTCTGTGAACTATTCCAATCTGCCAAAACTTTGAAACCTTCCACTAAAGAGTGAATTGTGAGGAATTACTCTTTCTAAAGTAATCGTCCAGAGAAAGACTAATTCCATAATTTAGCAATCCCAAACCTTCTCTTTTTCATTCTAAAAACTGAAAGGTATTTTTGATACAGAAACTACCCGCCAAAGGAAGAGCAGATAAAATATAAGAGAATTCTGTTTCGCATGTTTGTACTGTTTTCTTTTTTTCCTCCAAATTGATGCTTAAACAGATAAATAGCGAGTTGTTGCCATAGCAGTATTTATGATGTCAGGCATGTACAACTTGCACTTCACTTTGTCTTCTTGATGGAAAAGCTGCTAGGCAGAAATCCTCTCAGCTTACTCCTGGGTGTTTTGTGCTGCAGTATGAGAAGCCATTCTGGGTCATTTTCTTAGCTGAATGTTTGTAGCTCCTTCAGCTGTCAGACAAAAATTTGTCCCTGTCTGAGGCAAAGCAACAGTCTCTCAGGCTCAGATTGTAATCATACATTTTACCGTAGCAAGGTGTGAAAGACCGATGAAAACACAGCCCAGTGTGGCTTCCTTTGGGTCCCCTTTTCTACGGGAGATGCAAAGGGAATCAGCCTATTTCCTGATAGATTTTACTTTTCCTCTGCATAGTTCAAACTGTGGTGGAAAGGGGAGAGGCAGCGTGTGGCCGAGGCTCTGCCCGCTTCTTGCCTTTGCCCGTCCCCTTCCCACTAACCTGCCAGCAGGGCAGAGGCCCCTGCTTGCCTGCAACATGGAGTGGCACATGCAATAAACTCACAAGGCATCAAGAAATCCCTTATTTCCCTTATAGATATATCAGTTAAGATTTGGTTAACAGTGCAAAAGGTGTAATTTTTGGGGGGGTGCCGTCTCAGGGTACGCTGTCATAAGCAGCGGACCCTTAGATGAAACCCTAAAGTTAAGTAACTAACATTAATGATTCAGCCAGAAAATGGTCTTGTTTATTCCAGTACGGCCTGCATTTTAACTTGCCCACAAAAAAGACATTAAGAAGTTAATTTTTTCAAAAGGAGAACTTTATGTTTCATCTCAAAAAAGACAACCTTCACTTTGTCTCCGCTGTAGCCCTCAAATAGGGGAAGACAAACAACATCTTCTGATCAACTGAAAGTGTCATAACACACTGACACGCTACATTAACAAATATTTCTTTGGTCCCTCCACTGCCAAAAATGGCATAATCTGGAATTACAAATGAGTCTGAAACAATTGCAATCAGCGCATGGGGATTCCATGAGCAGAAAGGAAGGTTAAATTCAAAGGCTACATTATTTATGGTGAACTATTTGCTTAGCCCTAGCACTGAAGAACAGCAGAACAAATGGAATTGTTAGACGCAACATATATTAAGAACAGAGGCTGAAAACCCATTTCTAGTACTCCATGCTTAAATTTCCCCTGAGTTTTAAAAGAATTGCAGTGTTAGCTCCTCTCTCATTAAATTGACCCTCTTCTGTGTTGAACTTAACTTGACTTTTTTTTTTCATTTCCAGTTTACCTGAAAATCAGTGTCCTGAAAAATTCAATAGTTACAGTGAATGAAAACAGAAAGAGATTACCAGGCAGTGCGTGTGGCCGTTCTCATCTCGCCGAGGTGTACACACAAGGCATCTTTGGCTACTGGGTCAAGCTACAGAGGCTACCACTCATCAGAAACGTAGAGGCACATCTTGCCATACTGCAGGAAGATTGCAGTGACCATGGACGCAGCTGCCATTGGAAAGGAAGGATGACATGGGATGAGCCAGGAGCGCCTACTGAACCACCGGACCCCTCACCCGCAGGAACGGGACCCCAAACCTACTCACAGGGCAACATGGCACACCTCAGTCCTCTGCGTATCCACCATCACTGAAGGTCTCCGAAGCTCTTCATCAGCCACCACTACTGCACCCACCCACATCCTTCATCCCACCTTGCCCTACCGGAGGCGTTGGCACAATTTGCTTAATTGACAAGAGAATTACTGTTAGCTTTGGAGAATGCTGTCTCCCTAGCCCTATGCCCTTGCCTTTATCAATACATATAATGCTGGTAAGCAAGGCTGACTGAAAGCGCAGAAATCTTTTTGCAGGCCCCCTGGGAAGGAGGCGGCATGTTATGGTGGCTCAGCCCACTCTTTCTGCTACTTTTGAAGATTTCATGCTCTGTGTTATTTTTATGCACTCCCTCTGCATCTCACAGCCAAGGGAGCGTAGCATTTTAGTCATTTAGAGACAAACTCTGCCCTTGCTTACACCCATGCAACTCATGGCCCTGGGAGGCAAATATATCTGCCAACAGGCCATCATTCAAAGTTCCATTTCTTTAAAAAAGTACACCAAACAAATAGAAGGATTTCGCAGCAAATGAAGTGTGGTCAGTCAAGTAATACTGAGTTGAGCTTTGAATGAGTTATGAACTAATTCTCTGTGATGCAGTGCATTATGAATCTGGTAGGCTATACAGGCTTCAGCAGTCCTGATGAGTTATGTAGTTACTCCAAATTCATGAAAATAAACAGCATTATTTCACTTTTATACACACACAGATTCTCTCTCTCCCTGATCCTCTGTGACAGTCAGTAGCCATAGTTACAACACTAAATTTCTTCCAATATAGCAGATGAGTATTGCCACACATATTCTAAGTAAAGGCATCTAAAACCCTATCCTGAGAATTGTTCAGAGTCACACTGGCACTCTTTAAAACATAGCTCTCTCAGGTGTCCTGCATAATACATCTTTCTGATTTTATACTTAGGAAAATGTCCCATTGACCACAGTGGGCATTTTTTTCACATTTATCAAATGAAGGATTTTGAAAGGATTGTAAGAAGACTTGCAGACCACAACATAGCAATATGTCATCCCACTTACAAATTTATTTTTTCATCATGTTTAAAATAAGCTTCTTTGCTAAAGAAAAAGACCAAACATTCATGTCACTGCTCTAGGTTACGTATGAGAGCTTCTCATGAAGTGATGGTTTTGCTTACATAAAGGTAATCTTTGAAAATGTTTTGAGCTGTTTCTGGACATCCTTCCCAAGGAAAAGCTTTGCATATCCAAAGAATGGAATAAAGGCTCAGTGTTGAGTTCTTTTAGCTCTTCCCTACACTGAGGCATTAAATTCTATCTACTAAGCAATTGCTGTAAATTTGCAGTGCAGAATGAAGGGGATGAGATGGGGGGGCTGTTCCCCAAAGACAGCTACCAGGAGGTCACCCCGGAACCCACAGATGCGGGTCCAAATATCTCCTGCTTCAGGTTAGAAGATGCGTGCATTGAAAGACTCACTGATTCAGTCCACTGGAGAGACTGCTGATTTTTCAAAGGAATGTTGCATACTGACAAGAAGTATGGCAAAAAAGCTGACCTGTCTGTCTCCAGTGAGTTACTCATGCAAAACCCTAAACATCCTAATCTGAGTAAATCAGTGCTGTGGTTCTATTGCCATCATTCCAAATTTCCTCATCTTATGGTGCAGCCTGGCATAATGCTAAAATTCATTCTCAATTACCACAACATTTCCTTTCATGTTGTTCTAAATTTTTTAGTTTCAAAAAAGGATTGTTAACTTCGGCAGGTTTTCATAGAAAATCTTCTCTGCGAGTCAGGCTTATTTTCAAGTTTTTCTAACTGTTCACAAATCAGGAATAAATTAATGAGAAATTTAAAATATTCAAAATTCCCTGGTTAAAATTATCATAATATTTTAACAAGTCACTCTCCCCCAAAGTACTTGGAGCATTTGTAGCACAACTCAAACATATTTATAGAATCACAGAAACTGTGGTGGGAAGAGACCCCTCTGGAGGTCTCTAGGCCAACCTTAACGCTCAGAACACATCGCTCATCAGCACTCAGAACACATCGCTCATCAGCACCAGAGCAGGTCAGCTGTGGCCTTGCTAGCTGACTCTTGAAAACCTCCACGGGTGGAGAAACCTCCATGGCCAACTTTTCTGGGTAACCGGTTCCAGTGCCAAACTACAGAGTCTGCAGCAGAAGTCAAGCATACATATTAATGCTACGATACAGACATGCTAAGCGTTTTCCAGAACAAAACAAAGTTCATGTCTTCATGACACTGCAACCAGAAAGGAAAAAACCTAGTAGGATAGTGGGAGCTGCACATAACTGCAAAAAGAGGTGATTGCCACCCTCCCAGCAGTTCCCTCTGTTTTGGTTTGATGTAATGTCCAGCCTATATCAAGCTGTAAAAACTGCAAGTAAAGAATCTATTTTACTCCTGCAGAGTTGTAATCTCTAATGAAACTGAGAACAAAGGATGGTGCCAGACTATTTGCAGTTCTATTAATGTCTCTGTAGAATTTTTGACAAGGGTAGTCTAGCTTATTTCAGCATAACATTCTGCCTTTTCTCTAACTGGATAGTGTATTCCGCTTTCTTTCTGATTGCCATTTGTGCAGTCAGAAAAAAATTCATTCCAGCATAGAAGTGGCTGTATTTAGTGGTAAAAGAGGCAATTCAGCTACATATACATATCTTAAGAATACAAACATACATATGCACATCTGTGGGTGTGTGTATGTCTGTATATATGTACAGTATATATGCACATAGATCTATACATATAACTGATGCCATTATAATTACAGTTCTGGAATGTAATTTCATATTAGTTACAGAAAATATTCACTCATCCATAAAAAATACTGTTAATAATTATTGAAGCATTTACTTCTGATAGTTACTGCGTTATTCTTTCTGATTGCTTACTTCTTTTGTTTTATTTGGCTCCTGTTTCATTCTTCCTTTGTTCTAAGTCCTCTCAGACATAAAATAGCTCCTTTCACCCCCCCCCCCCCCAGTGCCCGTTGTTTTTAAGCCCTCCCAGACATAAAATAGCTCCTTTCCCCCCCCCCCCCAAGTGCATTGAGCCACATTCTAAAATCACCTACAAATTTGTAATATCCTCAGTCATTAGTTGCCCTTGATGCAACAATAATGAGATGGCATTAACTGATGGATTAGACCTTCTACTCAGGATGAAGTGAATACAGTAACCTTTGAGGTGAGGCATGGTACAAAATAACACAATGCAGATGATATTTCAAGATTAAACGTGTCTTTGTGCCCTACCAAGCAAAATATACTGATCTATTAATAATAAACCAAATTGTCACCAAACACATGCTATCAGCACAGAGATTATATTGTTTGTACAGCATTCATATCTTTGAGTAGATATATTTATTGACGAGGTTTCAGGTAGTTTATATCAGGGTGGAATTTCTCTTTGTACCTCAAAAAGCTGAAGGACTCTCCCAGCTAATCAGCACTGACATCTCCCAGGCAGTTTCTGTGGCTCCTAGAAGACCACGTCAGGACAAAAACACATTTTTTTGCACAAAGACCATTTTTCAAAGCACCATCCCAGAGTCCTATCTTGTCTGGGGTGGGGTGCTCCTTTTGAGATCTCAGCAAGAAGCATGTTCAGAAGCTACTTCGATACTGCTAAGCGCAGCTGCCCGAACCCTGGAGGACAAGCAACGGAAAATGGATTATAGCCGCGGCTGCCTATAGAGCAGACTGGCCGTGTCTATGTCACATAGCACCTGCCCTGGGTCTCCTCTGGGTCCCTTTTTGTCCTAAGAGGTAATGATTAGTAGGGGATTTTCAGCTAAAAGTGTCTACAATAGCATAAGGGCTGCTTTGCAGCCCTCCAGAGTGGTGGTAGTTTATAGCACAGACCTGAGGGTAGATGTCCCTCATAGGGTGAGGGGTGCTGGACGCTGCAAAGCCTTCTGGGATGGCGTCGGAAGACTATGGAGGCTAAACAGAGCCAAATCAAGTGCAGTCTCACCCATACTGCCTTTAGGGGTGGTTCTTGGAGTGAACGATCCCCAGAACCAATTCAGATTTATTTCAGATAAAACTAGTTAGTTGATTCCAACGTGTTAGCTGACTTGCCAGAGAAAAAGACTAGCACTCTGGAAAGGGATGTGGATGGGATATGTATTTTCTTTTCTGACGCAGCTGTGGTTTTTAGTTCTTAGTTTAGTGATGAGTCACCTTTAAATGACTAGTTCAAAATTCTTAGAACGGAATGATAGTATTAACAACATTTTGGAAATTAAATAATTGCACTTCTACTTAAAACATGATCTGCAACCTTATTTGTTATGCATCGTTCTGGGCTATCGTCCTCTGGACTGGAATATTCCAGTCTATCTGAACACAACAAATATTTACATTCAATTTCTTCTCACCTGTTGACATCTTTTCACCCCGTTTTACTCCTAGAGGACTCAAAGGAGAGAAACTAGAGACAAGATTCGCCTGACATAACTTTAGCCACTTAGTTGCATCCAAACAGTGAGGAACTCTAGCTGGAAGAGGTGGGAACTATCAAATGGCTAACTCTAGAAATGTTTGCTGAAGGTTTGTCGATATCCCAGGTAGAACATGTTCAATGTTGCAGAAATAAATAGACTACTGGTATGTAAGCTCCAGGTAATAAATAATAATCCAAGCAAAAAGTTACCTGAGTGTGTACATATCATACCAGCACCACAATTTTGCTCAAGGTAAAGATTAATGAAACGTATTCAGTGTCCCAGGATATGTCCATTCATTCAGAACCCAAGTTAGTGGGTGGATAGAAATGCTCTTTTCTGAGAAGGATGGAGTGAGATTCACTCTGGAGTTTTACATCAGCACATATTTTTTAAATGTGTTTTGCAGTCTTACACCTCAACTATGCAAACATGGCTATATTACTGCTGTAGGTACATTCTGTGTCTGCACTATTACGGGAACCCCAGGATTCCAGTCTCCATAATGAGATTGAATTATCTAGCCACATTGTCTGTCAAGAGGTACTTTTCTCATAAAATCATATTTTTCCTTCATATTTCCTTCCATTGAACTCACACACTGAAGTCCATAAGTTTACACAACAAATGATGGAAGAAATAAGAGAGCTATGACTGTAGCTGCATTGTTCATTTCCTCATACTATATTTTCATTTCTTTCAAGACTTTTCCATGAACAGCCTGAAGCTTAGTGTCACATGAAAACT